TGATGTGTTCTTAGGGTTGAAGGCCTCTCCCTTTCTTCGCCAAACATAAGTAACATCCATGTGCCCTAACAGTTCCAGTTTAGTCTCATCAGACCAAAGCACAGACTTACAAAACTCATCTTTACCTTTCAAATGTTCACGGGCAAACCTCAGTCTGGCTCTGATGTGCCACTCTTTGAGTAAAGGGGTTCTTCTGGGACGATGGCCCTGAAGCCCACCACGATGAAGAGCCCTCACCACTGTGCTCCTTGAAACATCGACTCCAGAAGAGGCCAGGTCAGCAACAATCATCTTGCTGACATCTCTGACTATTTTCCTCTCCAGGGTTCTTGAAATCTTGCGCTTTCGACCACGCCCAGTTTTGTTTCTTACAGAATGTGTCTCCTTGTACTTCGCAATGATGCAACGTGCAGCAGTTCTAGACACTGTGAAGTGCTTGGAAATAGCAGTATAGCCTTCCCCCTTATCATGAGCCTCCACTGTCTTCTTTCTGAGCTCAAGACTGATTTCCTTTGTCTTTGGCATGGTGAGTAGGAGTAGTAGTATAGTCCCTCTCAATAAGGTATTCAAGTGCCTGTTTCTTGGAGTCCTTTTATGCTGATTGGTTGATTAGGTGTGGTTTGAAAGCTGATTGGTTGATTAGGTGTGGTTTGAAAGCTGATTGGTTGATTAGGTGTGGTTTGAAAGCTGATTGGTTGATTAGGTGTGTTTTGAAAGCAAAAATTCAGATGGGGGCTAATATTTTTGACCAACCCATTTTTCACTATATTTGATATAAAGCAAGCCTAAAAACTTATTTTATGTTCCAAAATGTACCAAAAGCTACTAAGTAGCACTGGTGAATGTTTGATTATATCAAGTTTTATCAATACTGGAAACATTGGGAAGAATTTTAGGAAAATGTTCCATAACTCCTGGGGGGCTAATAACTTAGGCCTCAACTGCATGTGCCACATTTGCTCCAGTTTGTAACTTTTACAACCTCAGATCCAGTGCCTGGATACGGGTCCAGGTTCCTGCCGTGCGGACTGAGGCTGGAAAAAGGAGTCTTTCTTATTATGGTCCTTGGTCTTGGAATGACCTTCAATCACGCCTCAAACTGAGGGCACTTGTCTCTATAGCATGTTTTAAATTGAAGTTGTCTGAAGTCCTCACCACCAGCTGCTCTTGCAGTAATAAGTAGTGCACCTTTCTTACTAATGTGCTCAATGTAGTGACTGCTTTTCGTTTTTTTGTTTACTTGGTTGTGTTCTCTGTGTTTTATATGTCTATTATGTGTAAGAATGTGTAACGTTGCTGCCTTCTTGGCCAGGTCAGCATTGTAAATGAGATTTTGTCTCAATGTTTTTAATCTGGTTAAATAAAGGATTTATTTATACAAAAGAAACGATCGTCTACGGTTCTACTTAATCATATTTTTTTCCCCCTGCAATCTCTTTTATAATGTTGTCCTTCAGCAATTATTTTTATATTTGCTTAACCCTCCGGTATCACTGTGGACGTTTTTGTCCATATGGGTCATTTTTCACGTTTCATTTTGCAATAACTTTTGTTGTGTTGGTGCAAATGGCCTGATTTTTTGTAACAAGGCTATTTTCTCGATCTATTTTGGAATTCCAATTAAAAATATATTCAAATCGGTCTTTAATTCACGCTGTAACAAATCGACTACGCTTATTGACCATTCGAGACAAAAATGTCCACTGCAAAAGACTTTGATAAAAACATTATATTAAAATATTTTTTTCACCACTTTCTTGGGTTCAATATTTAAAGCCCTGATCAAAAATACCAAATATTGAATCATTGTCAGGATTTTAACCCTTTAAATGCCATTTTTAATCATGAAAGCGCTGTTGTTTTTCATGATTAAAAACAGAGATAATTAGTTATTTTCCATGTAAAACATATCTGGGGAAAGGCTTATTTTTTTTTTATAACAGTCTTGGATATGTCAAAGATTAGCAAAAACATTTATTTTGGTGGATTATTAGTTTTTGCACAAAATCAGATTAAACAAAAAAACTCCCACATTAGCCATTCGGGACAGAAACGTCCCATTCACTCCGATTATAACCACATCTTTTTATCTCTCCGCCATACCGCTATATAATCATGCATTTTGTCAGGGTTTTATTTTGGAGGAAAATAGTTCAATTTGTCATTTTTACTGTATATCACCAGATGTGACATTTTACCATTGAATTACATGCTTGTCATTTCTTGGTTTCTGGGCCGTGTGTGTGTGTGTGTGTGTGTGTGTGTGTGTGTGTGTGTGTGTGTGTGTGTGTGAGTGTGTGTGTGTGTGTGTGTGTGTGTGTGTGTGTGTGTGTGTGTGTGTGTGTGTGTGTGTGTGTGTGTGTGTGTGTGTGTGTGTGTGTGTGTGTGTGTGTGTGTCAGGCCCGGCTCCAGGATGAAATGACTGAGGGGGCTGTTCAAAAATCTGAGGGGGCGATTTCTTTTTCACAACAACGAAAAATACTGGCAATGTAATGAATTGACACACCAAGCTTTTTTCCTTCTCACTTCTCTACAATCTCTTTGCTTCTTTATTATTATTCCGGATTGACCCCTCTCATTCTGTTCTTTTCCTCTGATCTTTAATAATAAAGAAGCCATTATTAGATGGCTGCACTTTGGTTAACAGACTAACATTGATTTCCTCAATTTATAAATTGACAGGCTCTGTAATTATACCATAACCTTTTCTCCTCTATCCCTTAACTCATCTTCCTATACAGATTTACTTACTTACTAACTATCTACTCTAGTCATATCCAGTGCTTGAATTGGAATAAAAAAGGTGCCAGTACTCTAAATCAGCAACTGTTTCAAGTCAATTTATTTATACAGCCCAAAAACAAGAATTTGGCTCAAAGTCATAGTATATCCTAATGCTGGTGGGTTTGTCTCTTTACTGTATATTTTAGAAAGGCTCACTGTACTTAAACAAAATGACTCAGGGTGCATCTGAGATTAGAGGGGGTGCAGGGGTAAAGTGCTATTTTTATTAGTGGGGAGTGGACCTGACACCATCTGGGGGGGGTCCGGTGGCATGCTCCCCCGGGAAGATTTTTTTTTAAATATTGAAGTTAAAAGCATCAATCTGGTGCACTTTGAGAGCAACATTAGGAGATCTATGGATACATCTCTCAACACCCATATGAAACAGAACTGTAAACAGATTTCTTTTTCTTTATGGATCTTTTACAAATCACTCCCCTTTTAAACTCTATTCTTGTTTTACTGTCATATAGTATTTCATTTTTAGTGAGTTACTCAGATGAGTACCAGGAGACAGTGTTTGGTACTCTGGTACAATTGTGGTGAAGGCATCTGAGTTAGATGTATTTGAACCGAAATGTCTACAGGCATACTGTAGCAGAAGATGGCATCTTTTTTACAGGAAATTCCAGCCAATCTCTGTTTTTAAACCATGAGCTGCAAAATGAGCGCCTTACCCCACTGTACAGGCAAGTTGGGAACTTGTTTAAAGGGGACCTATCATGCAAAATGCACTTTTGTACGTCTTTTATACATGAATATGTGTCCCCGGTGTTCCAGGGAACTCACCAAGTGTCAGAAAACACAACCCTCTCTATTTTCCTCCATACCCAAATCTCTAAAAAAGGGGCTGCAACGGATCTGATAAAAACTGATCCAGATTTGAACACTGTCCTGACGTCAGGACGGTGGCGCTACGGCTATTGGGCCAACTCCACCAATCAGGAGGAGACAGCCACGCCCATTGCCGTTCGAAAGCGCTGGAGACGCTGTAGTACATATGCCAGGCCTGTAGGTGGTGCTGTTCTCACAGAATCAACCCTTGCACAAACAGAGCTAGACATTGTCAAATGGAGCAAAATGAGGCATGGCTAAAATGCATGATCTGTTTGGTATTTTGAAAAAAAAAAAGTATAAATATGCCTTATATAGGTATGGTCCTACACTATATTATTCAAATATAGCATGATAGGTCCACTTTAAATATACCTGGGCATGCTCTGTTTTGCCGTGGTCCTCTGGCACTTGCGGGCCGCCGAGGGGTGGCGGTGTTTGGGGCGACGAAGACTGCTGCTCCGGGGGCGAGGCAGGCAAAGCCGCCGGACGCATCTACTGAGTACCGGCACCGTGCCGGTACTCAGTAAGAAGTAACGGTACCAGATGGGTAAAAATCAGAAGTCCCGGTACTGCGTACCGGTGAGTACCGGCCCAATTCAAGCACTGGTCATATCAGGATTAAAGAAAAATGTATCAGGTTTTTTATTTTCAGGATTGAATGTTCAAACCAAGGCCTCAAACCTGGCATTTCATAAGCAAGTGACTAATATATAAACCAAATGTAATATTGGATAAAGTACCACACCAAATGGACAGACACAGATTAAACATAAAAATAAAGTCCCCTGGAGGCGGAAGCGGCCAAGGAGGAGGACCGCTTCAACCGCCAGCAGGCAGCCAGCGATGAAACCTCTAAAAGGTTCCTTGATCTATTTTTACATTACATTACATTTCATTTAGCTGATGCTTTTATCCAAAGCGACTTACAATGACCAATTACAGGGACATTCTCCCTGGAGTAACTAAGGACTAAGTGCCTTACTCAAGGGCACACTAGTGGTGGTGTTCCTGGCGGGATTTGAACTAACGACCTTCCAATCTGACTAAAAAGCCAACGTTTTGAAAGTCCTTGTGCAACCCAAGGTATAACTGTCTATAGTCATACTAAAACTCATAATGACCACTTTAATTTCTGAATTTTAAATCTCCACCTCAAATAATTCTGCGCCTAAACCAACCGTGTGTAAAGTATCCAAATGCAATATCAGGGATGTTATATTAATAAAATACATCAATACAAATTGATTGAAGTTACTGCAGCTCAAGCCTAATAAGTACAATTACTAAAACATGTACCTTCTTTCTTGTTAAGTTCAGTCAAAGCATACCAATATTTTATCACTGAACATGACTCCATTTCAACACTAAACGTAACACTTTCAGACGAAATTCTGTGATGGCCTATTTCACATCCCATACAATTAGTAATAAAGACATGTGTCTGTAAAGTCCTTTGCTCTAAATAAACTTGAGCAAGGTGAAATTGGAAATAAGGCTTATAAATGGCACAAACAAAAGAACAGAGTAATGCATCTGGCCAGTAAATGCATTTTTAACCTGACAACAAAACTAATGGGTAACAAAATAACTGGCCATAACAAAACATCCTCTTAGCAGTAATCGTGATTGTGCAGCTGCGGGTTGTGGTCAGGAGCCGAGATTTGGTCTGCCAGTCTGTCTCTCCGGCCCTGTCCACCTCGCTCCCCCCTCACAGGACGAGGTGGAGACCTCTCTACCCCGTGCTCCTGCTCCTGCTCCTCCTCCTCCTCCTCCTCCTCCTCCTCCTCCTCCTCCTCCTCCTCCTCCTCCTCCTCCAACACTTCAAGAATGTCTCCTGCAGTAAGGCAGATTTTGTGTAGGACACAGCAGGCAGTGACCACAGCAGGGACAAAGTTATTGTTCACCTCCAGGGCCTTCGTCAGGAGGCACCTCCATCGCACCTTCAGTTTCCCGAAAGTGCGCTCGATTATGCAGCGCGCTTTGGCATGGCAGCCGTTGAATCGGCTCTGTACTCTCCCCTGTAGTGGCTCCCGATACGGGGTTACGATCACTATAGGGTGTACAATGCAGGGGTAGCCACCATCCCCCACAATGAAGTACCCTGGAGGAGGGTAAAGAGCCTCTTTATACAGGGCACTGTGTTTTAGGACACGGGTGTCGTGGACTGAGCCCGGAAATCCAACGAATGTTTGGAGGAATTTCCCCTTCCCATCGCATACAGCCTGCAGCTGTATGGATGCCGGACTGTTGGCCAACTGCTGGAAGCCCTGCCCGACCTCCTCCAGCTCTGGACCAGCAGGCAGCTTGATAAGGGAATGCCGGAGAGCAGCGATGTCCTCCACTCCCTGGTGGACCAGTCTGTGGACCGTGGAGAGGGGTACCTGAAAGGCTCGGGACACCACACTGTAGGACAAACCGTGTTCCAGCCAGTACACAGTCGTCAAAATAGTCATGTGGTGTCCCCAGGCCTGTCTCCTCTCAGGCCCCAGACACCGCATCAAGGCCTCCAGGGAGTTACGGCTGATTCAGTAATCCTTGAGCAGGCACCCATCACCCTCGAGGTACAGCTTCAGCAGGGGGACACTGCTGTTCAATTGTCTGTAGATGGGATTGTGTGGGTGCTGAACCTACAGGAAGAATAACATGTACAGAGGTCATACCTTTGTCCAGTAATTTAAACTGCACATAAATATTCTCTCATAAGAAATTAAGCCATGGCTAAATCTGGTAGGCTACATTTGATGGTCTCAAGTGCTCGTGTTAACTAATGTGCATGGTCCCTTCTTGAATAAATACAACTACATAATAAAAAATAGAACTTTCTCTCTGACAAACATGCTTTTTCTCTAACTCCAAGGCTTAGGCCTATGTGTCATGATTTTCTTGCTACAAGTAGTTGGTCATTTTTGTATTCAAATAAAAAAAGCCAGCTATTTTTCAACCATTTAAAACATTTTTAACCAAACACTCATAAATACCTCAAGATGAAGCAGGATGGCATTGCGCATTCTCGCTTTCCAGCGCTGGGAACAGCGTCTTTCCTCACGGGATTTGGTTTTCTGCAGCTGGTTCCACTTCCATAAGGCACACAGTATTGCAGTCTTCATAGCCTATATCTCAATATCTCCGTCGTGGTTGAGATATAGATCAGAGGTGTGCCTGGACCTTATATAGGCTGTCAGGTCCCTCATGATTCGGTAATTGATTAGAAATTCGGTACAGGTGTTTTGTCAAAGAAATGTGACTTGATGACCTATCATGTCATTAAGCCTACTAGTTTAAAAAGGTAAACATACTGTGTATAGTGTATAGACAGTCATTGGGTTTTTTAGGCTTTTGTGTGTGTGAATATATCAAACGTATATAAGCCTAATGTATATGCATGTCTCCCTTTATTTGTAGGGTATTTTTCATACTAATGTTTTAGTGCGGCACAATACAGAAGAGATGCTAGGCCTATGTGTTGAAAATATTCATACATTCTTGTCATACTATGCCTTGTTGCAAATTGAATTAAATGTACATATGTGGGGGAACAATGTTCAGCTGATCTAACAGAGATTATAAAATACAGCGCTATGACTAAACACTCAACAGCTGATGCAGCTGTTGCCACGTCATAATTAACGGACGTCGCTTTAAAATGACCGCTCAGAGGAGAGGAGTTCTCATTTCTCTAACCGCCTACTGCTTCCCCTCCTCTCTCCTCGGCTCGCATCTCCTGTGGGCGGGACTAAGTGCAAAGGATAGGAGTCGAGGAGGGGAAATTAGAGTATTGGGAAACCTCTTATGTGCAGGCAGCTCAGCTGATTTCTCCTCCCTGGCTGCAGGCTGATAACAGACAGTTGGGATCGCGGCACAATTCTCTCTGCAGACCCATTCTCTCTGCAGACCCATTCTCTCTGCAGACCCATTCTCTCTGCAGACCCATTCTCTCTGCAGACCCATTCTCTCTGCAGACCCATTCTCTCTGCAGACCCATTCTCTCTGCAGACCCATTCTCTCTGCAGACCCATTCTCTCTGCAGACCCATTCTCTCTGCAGACCCATTCTCTCTGCAGACCCATTCTCACAGCGTTTATCAACCTTTTTCTTACTCAATATCAAGCCACACTTATTGTTTTTACTTCGGATGTGACTTTGTGTGTGCTCAGGATGAGTTTGGCTGTGTTTGGCTGTGTATCACTAACAAGGAAACAACACCTCCACGGAGCTCAGCGCGATTCACAACGTCCCGACCAATCAGAGCACACTGTGCTCACAGGGAGGGTGGGGGCTGGAGCTATTGGAGCTACAACGAGCCGTTAAAGGCAGAGAGTGAAATTCAGTGAATATATGTACAGATGGAGCATCTTATTTCAGACAGTTTGAAACGCGAGGGTCGTGATTGGTCCGTGATTGGTCCGTGATCGGCCCAATATCGGTTCGTGATGAAGAGCCAGCCCCGAGTCCGACACACACACACACACCAGGAGAGAGTAAAGCAGGGGTCGTCACAGTATTGTGTGTTGCGTTATTTTTGGCGATGAGGCTTCAGTTGCGATGAGTCAACACAAGACGCTTCCTCAGGGTGTTCCTAATTTCGGGCATCTGCGTTGTTGGACCACAGCTCGGACAACCGCTCGGACCACAGCTCGGAACACAGCTCGGACCACAGCTCGGACCACGTCTCAAAACACCGTCTTTCCCGGCTACTTCCTTGTTCACGCGGCGGAGTATGACTTCAATTTCTTCCTTCCTAAAAAAATATGAGGGGTAGAAAAACATGTTATCACATGATGGTCACATTAAGTCAAGGGTAAAATATATGTTAACGATTTTATCATCAGATTTAGATCTACAAAATCTTTTGGATATTTCAATAACTATATAATTAATGTTGAGTTTGACATTTACCCGTCACAGCCCTCTTTTAGCTGCTTACAGACAGATTGGATGAACCAGCTCCCCTCTGTGTCTCTTATAGAAAAATAATCTTCAACAGTGGAACTATGAACTAGAATATCTGCTTCCTGAGGGATGAATGTCGAGGGAGAGTAATCAGCCTGCAGATCGTCTGATACCACCATAGGATGTATCTGGTGCCCCTGGCAGGCCTGGATCAGGAACACTTTGGGCTTGGCAGTGAGGGGAGATTGATCAGTTGCCATGAAGATTCTCGTTATTTCTTTGATAGGGAGGGGCAGCTTATCAGTCCCCAATACGCCGCCCTTGTTTCCGTGACTGAGAAGACAGCAGATGAAGGCATCGCCATGCTGAGGAGCCTCTAGAAGATTGGTGAATCTGCTTCCAGTCCACTCCTTGACCTTGAACTCCTGCAGCTGAGTAAGGCCCCGCTGAGAAGCAAAGCATTTCAGCGCTCGCTCCATCTGGTCCTTGGTTTGGTCTTTACACATCAGCACTCTGAACCCCAGCAAGGTGAACTCCTTTCCCAAGCTTTCTGCAGTGAAATAAAACCGAGTTAGGCTAGAACAGGCAACACCGGGATGATAATATACATCTGTCAACTCTGTAACGTACCAGCATCTTTATCGGTTCCACGTCTCGGGTTACCACTAACAAAATGTTTGTTGTTTATGATCAGGCAGAGGCCGGTGGGCTTGCTCTTCAACTCGTACTGCTCGTCCTGAAAACAACAGAAACAATTTCACACAAACACAACATGATGAAACTGGAATGGATTAGGGCCGGGCTGTGTGGACACAATCTAATATATTTACACTTTAAGGTTTTTGATGAATAATAATAGCTATGTGGATATCATTGCTAAATAGTGCTGCAGATCATTACATATGTTAATAAATAGTCCAAAAGTGGAAGCAAGTACTCAAAACAAACAAACTCTGTGTCAAATCATACATTTAATAACAACGTAGAAACAAAATGCAGACGTCAGGAATGACTCAGAAGTTGTCTAAGCCATAACATTTAAATAATCTGCCAATAGAAAACTGGGTAGCCAACATGCAGTGCAGCTGTTGGTGGTGGTGGTATGTTGGGGTGTAGGAGTGTAGTACTGTAGAGGTACACTGGGGACATCATGGTGTTGGTAGCTTGCTAACAAAGAAGACTCCAGAGGTGGGACCAAGTCATTGTTTTGCAAGTCCGAGTCAAGTCTCAAGTCTTTGCGCTCAAGTCCAAGTCAAGTCTCAAGTCAGGATGGGCAAGTTCAAGTCAAGTCCAAGTCCTAAACTTTGACAAAACGAGTCTTAAACAAGTCATTATGTGCTTTTCACCAAATGTAATGACATCGATCAACAGAATAATACTTAATAATCAAACTGCTCTTTATTAGTCACATTAATCATTTAATAATCTATTTTCTCTCTGCTGGTAAAGTAACGTGTTCTATTGTAAGAGGGATAAGTAAGGTAAGGCTACCGTGACGGTTTGATTCAGAAGGAGTTTAATGCATAAGAGCGCTGATGTTGAGGTAACCAGAATGTTTATTTCCACTGTGTACAGCATGTTATAAGGGACCCACAATCTATCTTTATGCAAGGGATAATGTGCAGCGAGGCGGTCTTTATGGGGAAAAGAACACCTGAATCTAGATCCCTCTGCAGGTGGTACTTTCACTATATTTTGATGATAATACTTTTGTACTTTTACTTGAGTAACATTTTGAATGCAGGATCTTTTATTGTAACCGAGTATTCCTACACTCTGGTACTTTTACTCAAGTACAAGATCTGAACTTCTCCCACCTCTGACAATAAATCCTGAGTGGTTACCAAAACAAAACCCTGCTCTGAAGGTTATTTTCATTTTACAAATCCTGCACTCAGCTTTGCTTTCTCCAATATCATTGAAATGCAGCCAGATGCTGCTTCTTTTTTCAGTTTTCGCAAATTTCTTGACTTTTTCCGACGCGCTTGCATTTAAATCCGTCTCCCCGTCTCCCCGTCGCTCTGTGTAGCTGGCCTGTACCACTACACTTGCTGTCTTTGGAGCGTCTGCCCCCCACCCTTCTTTCACATAATGGTATGATCCTAGTGTGTCCGCGCATATGATTGGCCGCATGGTGGCCCAGAAAAATAAAGTCCCGCCCCTGCCTGCATGGATTCACAGCAAGAGTAGCAGCGGCTGAAGATTCTGCTCTCCCCGACGCGAGTCTGCTCTTCTGAACGGCAGCTCGCGATCGGCGTGTTGGAGACCTCTGAATTAAATTATCAAGTCACCTCAAGTCAGAAGGCTCAAGTCCAAGTCAAGTCCCGAGTCATTAGTGTTCAAGTCCAAGTCGAGTCGCAAGTGTTTTGTGATTTTGTCAAGTCGAGTCCAAAGTCATCAAATTGGTGACTCGAGTCTGACTCGAGTCCAAGTCATGTGACTCGAGTCCACACCTCTGGAAGACTCTCATCAGTATCAGTGTGCTTTCTAATACGCCCCACATTGTAACGTTCTGTGTTTAAAGGACAGAACGTAGCTCTGAAGAACTTTCTAAATTGTGAATTTGGCTGTAATTCAAAACCAAAAGTGGTGAAAATGTTAAAAATACTGTTTACTTGGATGGAAATGACGGCCATCTTGGAAATTGGACGATTTTTTTTCAAAATGTAAGTTAAGTAAGGGATAATGTACAGCGACGCGGTCATTATGGGGAAAAGAACACCGACAGGCTGATCAGGAGCCCGACGCGAAGCGGAGGGATCTAGATCTGCATGAAGGTGTTCTTTTACCCATAATGACCGCGTCGCTGCACATTATCCCGCTTATTACACGGCCACATTCTCAACAAAGTAATGATATGACTCCCACTATTAATTGAAATGCTTTTATGGATTTAGAAAATGATTTTATTGATTTAAAAAATAGTTGTATGTATTGATTTAAATTGACATACATCCGCTAAGGAAAATAGTCCGTTGTCACCGTTTGAAAAATGTAGCAACGGCAGGAAGGCGGAGCTTTTTGATTACAGATTTGAAAACATCGTTGCTTGCTTTAAAAGTATCACAACTCATGATGTCAAACCTTGAAAAGTATCTAGATATCCCTGCCCTAATGCCAAAGGAACTGCACGCTGAATATGTGTCGCCGTTTGATGTCTATGTCTGGACGCTGCATAAAAAGGAGGGTTTCTGCCCCGTTACTTCTCAGCTGTTTCCTTGTCGCTCTTGTCTTGTCAGTTAGAAAAGCAAACTGCATGCAGTTTGCTTTTCAGCCAAACTGTATTCAGTTAAATCGAACGGACTTCTTTGTGCAGATGTGAGCGTCCTTAACAACGGTCAATAAATCCTTGACAGCGGTCTGTCTGTTCTGGATTAACAACGTGTCACGTGTTCTGAATTGACCAATCAGAATCGACTATTCAACTAAGCCATGTAATAATACAGGATAATAAGGATGTTAATTGTGTCTTTTTTACAAAGGCTAACTAAAACCCCTGACGCAAGCATTTTAACATGAAGTGTGCTTTTTCAATATTAGGTTATCTCACCTCCTTTCGGCTTTCTGGCTGATTATCTGCGGGAATAAGAGGGAAACAGAAGGACACTTTACAAACGTAACATTTTAAAATGTCAACCTCACAGTAACACACATTTGGCATGCGTATTAGTCATTTGTATGCATGTTAACGTACCGGTGTTGTCAACTGAAGAAGCCTGAACCGGGTGTGGCAAGAGGCAGTTTCCCTTCTCCAGCATGTTCTTCAGCTCAGGGTAAGTCTCCTGGATGTCCTTATCAGTTTTCAGGAGGTTCAGGAAGGCTTGGCATCTGTCCTCTCCTTTGTCCATGATCGTATCCACCAACGCCCCAACGTGGCCCTCCACGTTCTCTTTGTTGATGCTTTTCAGATTGTTGTACTCACGTGCAGTTATCAACTCCTTTTCATAAACTTTGTTGAGGATTAGCGTGTGGTCTGCACCCAAAGTGTCCACAATGGATATCTTATTTATTCTCAAAAAGGCGTTGGCTGCTATGCTGAATCTGACGGGGAGAAAAACAACACGCATAGTAAATATATTGGTCTATTTTTTTTCATCATAATCTGCCACCAAAAATAAAATGTATCATTTTTTAATTTACTCACGAGTTAAAAGCAACAATAAAAGCAGCAACACCCTTCAGAATGAATCCATATCGCTTTAAAATGTAGTTTAACTCTCTAGATTGAATCCATGCTAACCTGCTATCAGCTAACTTTCAGAACTACTTCCTACGATAATGGCATTAAGTGACGTTGCTAAAGTTAGCCACTTTATCAAAGTCGACCACATGTTTCAGAGCACTGCTATCTCTGTCCTGCCGAGCCACCGGGCTCCATTCGGGCCAGACCAAACAAAACCACACAATGTACCAAACTCCAACCAAATATCTGAGTATTTAAGGAAAACGTGGGTATAATGACAAATGAACTTTGATTTAAAACAATAATAATTCATAATAAGCTGTTGTGGTTAATGCTGGTGAGTTCGGCATATATTCCATCCACTATTAAGCCCTGTATTTAGCATACATCGCCTCATAAACTAACAGACAACCTGTGCGGCGCGCTCAACCTCCATGTGTCTCACAAGCACACAGGTACCAAACTCCACTCAACTTACTGTATATTTAACAAAAACGTGGGTATTTATCAAGATATGTGTTGATTCCAGACAGGTTAGTTCATAATAAGCTGTCTTGGTTACTTCTGATGAATTCGACATATCATTTATCCACTATTAAACATGTATTTTGAATAAATAGCTAAATAAACGTCCCTCTAAAGAGGCGGGAAAACAGCAGTAGTGGGAATAAAAGTTGTATAAATATTACTATACTAACAGGTATGTGTGATGTGTGTACACCGAGTAAAAGGTGTGATCCCGTAGGTTCCTGTACTCATGCTATTGAGTGTGTGTTTTCATGTAAACATCTACAGGTTCATATAATGCATGTTTTTCCAATGAGGTCTGGTTTAAAGCACCGTTAACCCTCCTGTTGTGTTCGGGTCAAATCTGACCGATTTACTACTTTCATCAATACTCACTTTTTAGTTTTACATTCGACCGCATTATGGCTTCATGATATCCTTCACAGAGACATTTGAACATATCAAATGCTGATCACCACTTTCATTGCATTTTGGATGATTAGTCAATAGTCAACTTTGTAACCGCCATAAAGAAAAGGAATTAGTAACCATCCGAATCAGATAACACACACACACTTCCTGCTCTTATGTGCCCATCCCCCCCATGGATCACACACAAACATACAAACACACACAAGCACACACACAGTGGCGATTCTAGAGTCATTGGGGGCCCTCGAACCAGCTTTTCATCACCATGCACTGCCGACAGTACCCCCCCTCCCCCGGAGCTGAGCAAGGCAAGGAAGAACGAAACTAATGGCGCATTTCCATTGCAGCGCGTAGCTCGCTTTAAGCGTGCCGTGTCGTGCCGTCCCCTTTTTTGGTTGTGCTTCCACTAGGCCTCGTTCCGGCGCGGCACGGCGCGGGGCCACTTTTTCCCCTCTTTTCTGGCCCTAGAAAATTGTGGTTCTATCGGGGCCAACAAACAGGGCTGAGTCGGGCTGAGTATGCTAAACTAGAGAGAGGAGCGCTGGCAAGAGGGCTAGAACTACAACAAGATGGACATATTTGACCGTGATTTAATTGTAATACACGTTTCAAAATGATGCCGAAGTAACAACATACTGATACCGGTTAGTAAAAACCATGAATTAATGCTTTGTCAAGTCTGCAGACAGACGGCAGGCGAAAAACCTTTTAAAATTCGTGTTTTTCTAGATGGAGATTGGCTAAGCTAACGCAGTATATGCCCCGACCGTCCACACTCACAACAACGGCCTATACAGACATAAATAAAGCAGCGACTGTATTCACCATGACACAGGCAGTCTGTGGTGTGTACTTGTTTAACTTTTGTCGAGTTTCTGAACATATATAAGGAGCTGTGAGCTCTGAGTGCTCACAGCTAACGGCTGTGTTGTGTTTCTGGATTTCTCATTGAAGATGACGTCACGGCTCCGCCTACACTGCGTTACTATAGTAACTACCCCAGTTCCTAAACTGTAATGGAAGCGCAGCATGAAGTGAGTCGGCCCTGTTAAGGCCCAACGCGGCCAAGCCGTACCGAGCCGTACCGAGTGTGGCCGAGGCCGACCGTGTAGTGGAAATGCGCCATAAAGATAAGAAGCAGCATTTTACGGCGCGCTATGCACGGGGCCACCTTGAGGGGGTTTCCCGACATGTCGTTGCAGTAAATTAAAGGGTGTTTCATGTTGTCGTTGCTGTGGACCTTCTTAATCTACCTTCTTTGGGGGCCCCCTTCTGGTCCGGGGCCCCAAGCAGTTGCCTGCCTTTCTGTTCGCAAGGTGCGCCCACGCACGCACGCCCACGCACACACACACACACACACACACACACACACACACACACAGACACACACACAGAAAACTATTTGATACATTTCCCGCTCTTATGTGCCCATCCCCCCCCATGGATCACATCTGGCACACACAAGACATGTTCAGTGTCTGTTCTTTGTATATTTACTGCAGTTTTTCATTTATACCAGTAGTCTGATACAATAGTTACAGTTTGAAAGGGTGTTAAATGAAATGTGGTGATGATTAATGGTTTTTGTGTTAATGTAATAGCAGTTAAAACAGGATCGGTCAAATTTGACCGCGAACACCAAAGTAAGGAGAAAACGAAGACAATAGGACCATTAAAGAGCAAGCTTACCTGCAAGTCAAACCTGGACCGGGCTCCTCTGGGGGTTTATATCCGAGAATAGGAGCTGTTTTTCGGCTGCAAGAGTGTGTGTCTTCCGCTCCTCTGTTCAGAGATGTGACTCCTTTAAAACTTGACTTTGAATTAAAAGCAGATTCAACCTGCAGAAAGGGGCGGGGCTAGCCCTGAGCTGTGACTGACAGGAGGGGGCGGGGCCTGAGCTGTGACTGACAGGCAGGACTCAGTACTACACTACATTATATTACATGTCACTTGTCAGAAGCTTTTATCCAAAGCGACTTACATATTCAATACTGTGGACAAACCCCACAGGAGCAATTTGGGGTGAAGTGTCTCAGGGACACAACGACATGCTGACTGCAGTGGGGTTTGAACCTGTGCTCCCCTGATCCGAACCGCAAGGCACTAGTCCACTGCGCCACAGCCTCCCTACACATGTATAAATAATTAATTAGTCCAGGTGATATGTTTGATGTCTTAAGATATATCAGTTCATAATCAATATTAGGTGTTGTCATACCCTGGGTCTCCACTATCAGCTGCAACAAGAAAGGACATCAAATACCACAAACATAAAAATATGAATTCAAAGATTATTGTTATTTCTTTAAAGGGCCCATGTCATGGCCATTTCCACTGATCATAATTTCATTGTTGAGGTCTACTAGAATGGATTTATATTGTGCATTTTTCCAAACTCACATTGGTTTCTCATACAGCATCTCTGTAAACTACAGATGGAGCATCTTATTTCAGACTCCATCATACAGCTTCCTGCCTACTACCAGCCTGCTACCTGCCTAAGACCTGCCAAAGACCAGTATCTGGGAATGTTAAGCCCTCCCACTATTTTCCAAGAGGGCGTTGCCAGATTTTCAATTTCAGGATTTAACCAGGAGATGGCGCTATATATTAAATAACTATGGCCAAACTAAGACTTAGTTTTTCACAAGAGAAAATGCAGATATTATATATTTATATTATATAAAAAACTAAAGTTAAAATCTTGTTTTTAATGCCCCAAGAGCAATAAAAACACTTGGTACAAAAATCCTGAGTGAGGCTTTCATAAATTGCATTTAGCTGACGCTTTTATCCAAAGCGACTTACTATTTAATAAATGATAAATGATTATTCATAACAAATATGAGTGATGTGTGATTATTATTCATGCTATATACTGATATAGGGCTAAGTAAGCAATCAATCCTGCAAATTAACCCTTAGTTGTTCAATATATTTATTCAGACAATGTGAGTAGAAATACAGAAATTCTGCTCCCACCTAAGGCCAACGTTGCAATATTACAACATTTCCCTAAAAACTTACCAAAACGTAAACATTTTTAAAACTCTTTCATTTCTGCTCCAGAGGCCAGGGGTTAAATTGGGATTTGATATGTGGGGGGGGCTCTGTTAGAAGGTGCGACAAGGGAGGGGGGAGAGAGTTAGACGCTCGTGAAAGGGGGGGTTGACATCAGAGCATCGTCCTATGGGCTTAGCCCCGGACAGGTACAACAGGTATTCACTCAGAGGGGGGTAGGTACTAAATACCACTCATTTACATGTAGGCAAACAAAATCAACATACAGTAGGGGGGTGGGGGATGGTGAACGGTATGGTTAATGTTTGTAAACACAATCCCCAGGATGTGTCCTGATCAAACCAAAATAGAAAATGCAGATATTAGACTCAGACATTGGAAAAGTCTATGTTAAAAAGCCTCAGTCATGTTCAGCTATGTTACTATTTATAATTTTATTGTTGTTACAACAGAAGATGTTTTTCTTTATATTGAAGTTAAATGCATCAATCTGGTGCACTTTGAGGTCAAAATTAAGAGATTTATGGATACCGCTGGAAAAAGCTGTGTGTGAAAGTTTAAATCTTCCTTATTGAGCTTTAAAACAAATGAATAACGACTATATATAATAATAAAATAAACACCGGCTGTTGTTATGCCTGCTGTAACGTTAAATTACTCCGTTCTCCGCTTAAGTAATTATGCCGTTACAAGCTTCATAGTTGTATTTATCATCTAAATTTGCAGAAACAAGTTTAATATTCTGAAAGCCAAGACTTTGTTTATTTGAAATCAGATGAAAACAAACTGTAACGGATCCTGCCGTGTTATCTTGATATTTCCGGCACAGACCCTTTCATACCGGCAATGCGCGATAGAAACAACAGGAACTGCAACAGCATAAATATGCGAACACAAACCTACAGACTGCTGGAGAAGAGATATCACAGGGGGGGGTTGGGACACACACATTCCGATGGCCAATTAGTTTTAAACAAAGAGTAGACTCAACATAGGGGGGTGGGGGCTGGTGAACGGTATGGTCAATGTTTGTAAACACTGTGACATTTTGACTTTATTTGATCATTTCAGTTAAAAACTAACGTTCATATTTCGTTCATAGAAATATGAATATGTTAGTGGCTGACCCAGCCCCATGGTCTGTCACAGTAGTGCGGGAAAGAGAAGTGCACTGTTTTGCCTGGCTGGACCTGTAATTTACAGGAAAGGAGTGCACGCTACTAAAGAGACACGCTACCATGGAAACCAAACAATGGTGTTGCTGTATTGAAGTCCGAGTGGAAACAGTCATATTTGGAGCGTTATGTTAGAATGAAACAGCCAGGTCGTGACTCACAAAAAAAAAGTGTTACTTCACTAACTGTAAGCTTGTCACTCAGAGTAACCTACAGTTCACTTAACTGCTGGAAAAGAAAGATCAGGGGGGGAGAGAGCTGTGGGTGATGGGCCATTAGGTGTGTAAATACACAGCTGAGAGCTGCCATTTCATTCTGACTGTTTAAAAAACGGTAACAACGGACTATTTTTCTTGGCGGATGCATGTCAATTTAAATCAATACATACAACTATTTTTTAAATCAATAAAAACATTTTCTAAATCCATAAAAGCATTTCAATTAATATTGGGAGTCATGTCGTAACTTTGTTGAGAATGTGGCCATGTAATAAGCGGGATAATTTGCAGCGACTTGGTCATTATGGGGAAAAATCAACTTAGGCATCCCTCCCAAAAAAAATAAAAAATAAAATTATAATAAAAATATTCATAACTCATATTCGAATACCTGAATAATTTCGAATATTCGATTAATCGTTCCCATCCCTAATATAAAGTATATAAATATAGTTTTTTTTTTCAAAATACCAAACAGATCATGCATTTTAGCCATGCCTCATTTCGCTCCATTTGCTCTTTCCAGCCCTGTTTTTGCAGGGGGCTGATTCTGTGAGCTGCAGCTGACCACGCCCCCCTGCAGGAGAGGGGAGCCGTGCTCTGATCAGCTGCTGGGCTGTCAGAAGAGGGGGAGAAAAAGAGATCTCCGTCCTCCGTGTTTTATTATATAGAGTCGTTATTAATTTGTTTTAAAGCTCAATAAATAACAAAGAAGACCTTTGACCGGCACTTTTCTAATTTTGTCAGGAAGATTTAAACTTTAACGGACATCTTGACCGGCGAAAGAAACTGAAACTGAAACTCTGCCGCACGGTCCCCTGGTTCCTTGGAAGAGGCGGAGAGGTGGGTGTTTGTCATCTGCTGGTGGACTAACCGGAGAGAATTACAGTGCTTGCCTCGACGGGGAGGGATTGCATTGAATTAAAGCAGCCGGAGCAAACGCTTGCCTCGGGGAGGGAGAAAGAAAGCCACAGCGGAGAATAAACAGAAGGGTAACCATGGTAACTATGGGCGGGAATTCTTCTTCGCTGCTTTTGTGGCAGACTACAGCGCCACTTCCAGGCCTGGCATATGTACTACAGCGTCTCCAGCGCTTTCGAGCGGCAATGGCCGGCCGTGGCCCAACCCCACATTCCCCTGATTGGTGGAGAGTTGGCACAATAGCCGTAGCGCCACCGTCCTGACGTCAGGACAGTGTTCAAATCTGGATCAGTTTTTATCAGATTCGTTGCAGCCCCTTTTTTAGAGATTTGGGTATGGAGGAAAATAGAGAGGGTTGTGTTTTCTGACACTTGGTGAGTTCCCTGGAACACCGGGGACACATATTCATGTATAAAAGACGTACAAAAGTGCATTTTGCATGATAGGTCCCCTTTGACATTTATTTATTGATGCATATTTTTTAATCTCTCCAGTTTTAAACAATATTTTTGGTTTACTGTCCTAGGGTATTGTTACGTTCCCTAATGGACAAAGGGAAGTGACAAAATATAAAATAACCGGGAGAGAGAAAAAAAGAGAGGAAACTGAACTGTGAAGCCACAAGATGGTCGTTTAATTAAGTAATTAAACAATAAAAGATCAATGGGTCATTAAGATCTTTAAATTATTATTATTACCCACTTCAAAGAGACTTCCTTATAGTTAATACAGTAATCAAACATTAGTTCACACGCCATACAACTTAAAAGAACATCCTTAATTAACACAAATCATATTAAACTAATCTTTTAGGGAGGGCAATTGAACAACAGGTCATCAGACACTCATCAAAGGACGGACATCAAAGGTTTATTATACCATAATAAACAACACCTCACAAACATATGACATATGACACCATAAAACAACACATCACAAACATATGACACCTGCTTTTGCTCCTGTCTTTTAATATTCTCACTGTGAAACAAAAATTCCTCTATGTTCGGAAATTGGACTGTGTTCTCGTCAACTGCTTGCTATGAAGAAATAGCAGCATGTACAAAGCTGTAATTGATGAGTTGGGTTTGTAACAAAGGCTGTGTGTTAGAAATATTTCCTGCACATGCAGTCACACAAGGAAACATATCACATTGTATGACTCTGAATTCCCCTAATCCTTGTCTCATCTGATAATACTTGTGTTTTTTTAACTCAGTTCCTTGTATGTCACTCGGGTTGATGTCTTGGCACTTCCTTGACTGTGAAACATTTGATTTATTTGGATCGGTTAGTATCAGTTGAAGTAATTCAATCTCTATTTCCTTGTATGTTGAAGTGTCTGAAACCAGAAACCTCCCAGACACAGATACTCTTCACCCTTTTGCATTTCTTAACAGAAAGACAAGCAGTAATATCAGCGGGTTCAACAGTGAGATGTGTCCTGATGATCAATCGGTAGGTTTCACTCTGATCTCTGGGTTGACTGTTAAAAGAATGGTTCGCTGTTTATAAGGTAAAACATAGTGAACTAGGGGTGGTACATTTCAACATATTAAAGCTTTGATTGTGCTACAGTCATAATAAATCAGATCAGACAGATGTTTAATAAAAAGCTTGTAAATCACTTTTAAAAGCGCTTATTTCCACACACTTTTACGCTTGTTGTTGAACTATTTTCTGCATTTTAGCTCAACGAGGAGCCTCTAGCGATGAACCAGGAATCCCCCTCTCAGGAGACATGCATTTCAGACAAACCCAACTATTCTCTCAATCTTTATAATGCAAAAGATGCTGACAAAGACTATGTGACATTTGTAAACATATAATTTGATTATTATATGACACATATGTAAAATTAAACAATACATTGTAAAGCACAAGTATACAGACAGAACGTCACAATTAAATAAAAACATATATTAAATAAAAAATTTACTGAAAAAGAAGTGACGAATGAATGCAAAATCCAGGATTTAACATCAATCAAAACACGGAGAAATCAAAAAAAATTTAAAGTCATTATGAGGGGTGATTATCCAGTGAAAATATAAGAATAAAGCCGGACATTTAAAATCATATATATTTTTTAAATCTTAAATTTGCACAAAAAACAAGTGCATTTTCTTAAATGTTTGCTTTGATCCCACAGCGCCCTCTGCTGGACAAATTAGAGGAAATAATAACAAAATAAATGTTTTACTTTATTATTATTTAAACAATAGATTTTACCTGCAACACATTTTCACCTCTAATTTTCTGCTCTTTTTTTAAAGGTCCCATGTCATGCTTTTCTGGTTCTTACCCGTCCCCTTGTGTTCTGTAGCTTCTGCATGGAAACGGTCTGCAGAGTCACAAACCCTCAAAGTACACCCTGTAGCGAGTAAAACTCTAACACAGAGAAGACCTGTCTATGCAGCCCCAGAACGCTTCGCTGGACATTTCTCTTTTTCTTCCTGTGTATCGTGAGGTGCCCATACCCAAATGGACCCATTTCCAACAAGCCGTGTAGGACAGAGAGTGAATACACATACTATACAGAGATGCTGTATGAGAAACCAATGTGAGTTTGGAACATTGAACAATGTAGATCTATTCTAGTAGACCTCAACAATGGAACTATGATCAGTAGAAATGGCCATGACATGGGACCTTTAACATCATTTTTTATCTTACAAGAAATATTTCTCCATTTATTTTACTATTAAATATTAGTATTTCTAAAATGTTATAAAAGTAATTTTCTTTTTTCTTTATTTCTTCATTTAACTAAATGTCCAAGAAACGGGATTTTTCTATTTTCTTTTATGAAACATAAGGATAAAAGTGCAGGTTTTTTTATTTCTGTTCTTATTTCTGGGGCATTTCACGTGTTTTTTGACCCCTTATTATTAGTGAGTATTTGAATTAATTAATCGTATTTTTATAAAATGTTCACTGACAAATCAAGGCATTTTATAGAACATACATTTTCTTTATTTCTTTATTTTAATATATCAATGCACAAGTTGATTTTTTTTAAAGAAATAACAATAATCTTTGAATTCATATTTTTATGTTTGTGGCATTTTATGTCCTTTCTTGTTGCAGCTGATCGTGGAGACCCAGGGTATGACAACAACTAATATTTATTATGAACTGATTTATCTTAAGACATTCAAACTGTCAGTCAGTCAGCACTGAGGGCAGGCCCCGCCCCCTCCTGTGAGTCAGCACTGAGGGCAGGCCCCGCCCCCTCCTGTCATTCACAGCTCAGGCCCCACCCCCTCAAGTCAGTGACAGCTCAGGGCTAGCCCCGCCCCTTTCTGCAGGTTGAATCTGCTTTTAATTCAAAGTCAAGTTTTAAAGGAGTCACTTCTCTGAACAGAGGAGCGGAAGACACACACTCTTGCAGCCGAAAAACAGCTCCTATTCTCGGATACAGACCCCCCAGAGGAGCCCGGTCCAGGAGGAATCCCCGGTTATATGTGCCAGGTTTTTCTAACGGATGACTTGCAGGTAAGCTTGCTTTTTAATGGTCCTGTTGTCTTCGTTTCCCCCCCCCCATTACTTTGGTGTTCGCGGTCAAATTTGACCAGTCCTGTTTTAACTGCTATTACATTAACACAAAAACCATTAATCATCACCAGGGGCGTTTCCTGGACCTGGAAACATTTGGGGCTGAGCCCACAGTGGTGGCGCCAGAGATTTTCTTTTGGGGGTGTTGTGGGGTAACTTGACGTTTCATAGAGGGTGTACAAACATGTAGGGTTTCCCATTAAGGTACCGGGCGCTACAGTTGAATGTTCTACTGCAACAATCCCCACGCAAATACACAGTGTACCCGCGACTGTTACAATGAAGGCTCGATAATCAGCTCACCGCATATAGGTGTAAGCAGGGGTAAAGTGCTATTTTTATAAGTGGGTAGTGGACCTAACATCCTCTAGGGGGGTCCTCACCTCCTCTAGGGGGGTCCGGGGGCATGCTCCCCAGGGAAGATTTTTTTTTTTTATATTGAAGTTAAAAGCATCAACCTGGTGCACTTTGAGAGCAACATGAAGAGATCTATGGACACCTCTCTCAACACCATATGAAGTAGAACTGTAAACAGATGTACTTTTTCTTTATGGATATTTTACTAATCACTCCCCTTTCAAACTCTATTCTTGTTTTACTGCCATATAGTATTTCATAACTGTTTTTCATTTATTCTCTTATTTTTTTTATAACTATAATGATCATATGAAGGTGTGCCGCGGAAACAATCTTTTGAATAATTTGTGACCAAACCGTTTGAGACCCACTGAGATAACTTAGACTAAAGTTAACTATCTAAACACTCAGAGAGTCCTTTAGCTCACCTGAGTCTCTCAGTCTGAGAGGAGAGGACTCTCCTCCTGCTTGTTGTGGAAACAGCTCCTTATGTCCGTTAGCGCAGCTAGCTAACCAGATGCTAACAACACGGTCCCTGCTGGCACCGGTGCACTCTCTCTCTCTCTCTCTCTCTGGTGTCTTGCCTCTGTTGCATTCAATGAACACGGGAAATTACAATCCTGCCGTCCTCTCTTGTGTCATGATGAGGCTCAGGTAAAGCACGGTTAATGTATTATATTATTGAGGGAGAATTGTCCGGGGCTAGAGAAAAAGCCCTGGATGCCCAGGCCAGGCGACGCCACTGATCATCACCACATTTAATTTAACACCCTTTCAAACTATAAATATTAAATCAGACTACTGTCATAGAGTGCCACAGTGACGCATCCTAAAACCTGGAAGTAAGCTTCTTCCGGTTCCCTCGACCAAAAAGCAATACAATTTCTCCCTAGGATTTTGGAAAATAGCTGGAAATAAGGTCTGTCGTTGACACACATTGAAGAGACGGATCACGTTTTGTTCAGTCGGATAATCTCCACATATCTTGATAAATATCCACGTTTTTGTTAAATATACAGTAAGTTGAGTGGAGTTTGGTACCTTTGTGCTCGTGAGACAAATGGAGGTTGAGCGCGCCGCACAAGTTGTCTGTTAGTTTATGAGGCTATTTATGCTAAATACAGAGCTTAATAGTGGATGGAATATATGCCGAACTCACCAGCATTAAACACAACAGCTTATTAGGAACTAGTTTCGTGTTAAATCAACGATTCTTTTTAATTATACCCACGTTTCCGTTAAATACAGTCATTTGGGTGGAGATTGGTACATTTTGTGCTTGTGTGTTAAGATTATTAAGCAATTTATTCAAAATACATGTTTAATAGTGGATCAAATACTTGCCGAATTCATCAGAACTAACCCAAACAGCTTATTGTGAACTATTATTTGGGTGGAGTTTGGTACATTGTGTGGTTTTGTTCGGTCTGGCCTGAATGGAGCCCGGTGGCTCGGCAGGACAGAGATAGCAGTGCACTGAAACACGTGGTCGACTTTGATAAAGTGGCTAACTTCAATCTAGAGAGTTAAACTACATTTTAAAGCGATATGGATTCATTCTGAAGGGTGTTGCTGCTTTTATTGTTGCTTTTAACTCGTGAGTAAATTAAAAAATGATATTTTATTTTTGGTGCCAGATTATGATGAAAAAAAATAGACCAATATATTTACTATGCGTGTTGTTTTTCTCCCTGTCAGATTCAACATGGCAGCCTACGCCTTTTTGAGAAGAAATAAGACATCCATTGTGGACACTTTGGGTCTAGACTACACGCTAATCCTCAACATCGTTTATGAGAACAAGTTGATAACTGCACGTGAGTACAACAATCTGGAACGGCCCAGAAAGAAGTCCAAAGTGAACCACCTGAACGTTGGGAAGTTGGTGGATAAGATCATGAACAAAGGAGAGAAGAACTGCCAAGCCTTCCTGAAGCTCCTGCAAATAGATGGGGTCCAGGTCCAGGAGACTTACCCTGAGCAGAAGAACATACTGGAGGTGAGATAACCTAATATTGAAAAAGTACACTTCATGTTAAAATGCTTGCGTCAGGGTTTTTAGTTAGCCTTTGTAAAAAAGACACAATTAACATCCTTATTATCCTGTATTAACTTACATTTTGAAAATAATGCGTCCAATTTCCAAGACGGCCGTCATTTCCATCCAAGTAAACAGTATTTTTAACATTTTCACCACTCGACCAAATTCTGTGATGTTGGTTTTGAATTACAGCCAAATTCACAATTTAGAAAGTTCTTCAGAGCTACGTTCTGTCCTTTAAACACAGAACGTTACAATGTGGGGCGTATTAGAAAGCACACTGATACTGATGAGAGTCTTCTATGTTAGCAAGCTACCAACACCATGATGTCCCCAGTGTACCTCTACAGTACTACACTCCTACACCCCAACATACCTGCACCACCTACAGCTGCACTGCATGTTGGCTACCCAGTTTTCTATTGGCAGATTATTTAAATGTTATGGCTTAGACAACTTCTGAGTCATTCCTGACGTCTGAATTTTGTTTCTACGTTGTTATTAAATGTATGATTTGACACCAAGATCAATTAATGAGCAAGTGAAAGTGATTTAATGGCAAAAAAAGGACATTTCCATCATTGGTGACCGTCTTGAACATTGCCTCCATCTTTGGAGTGGCAAGCGGGCTTTTTCAAAAGAGTCAACTCAAAGGAGTTTGTTTTGAGTACTTGCTTCCACTTTTGGACTATTTATTAATATATGTAATGATCTGCAGCACTATTTAGCAATGATATCCACATAGCTATTATTATTCATCAAAAACCTTAAAGTGTAAATATATTAGATTGTGTCCACACAGCCCGGCCCTAATCCATTCCAGTTTCATCATGTTGTGTTTGTGTGAGATTGTTTCTGTTGTTTTCAGGACGAGCAGTACGAGTTGAAAAGCCAGCCCACTGGCCTCTGCCTGATCATAAACAACAAACATTTTGTTAGTGGTGACGTGAGACGTGGAACCGATAAAGATGCTGGTATGTTACAGAGTTGACAGATGTATATTATCATCCCGGTGTTGCCTGTTGAAGCCTAACTAGGTTTTATTTCACTGCAGAAAGATTGGCAGAGGTGTTCAGCTGGCTGGGGTTCAGAGTGCTGATGTGTAAAGACCAAACCAAGGACCAGATGGAGCAAGCGCTGAAATGCTTTGCTTCTCAGTGCGACCTTTCTCAGCTGCAGGAGTTCAAGGTCAAGGAGTGGAACCCTAACCCTCGCAGCAGATTCACCAATCTTCGAGAGGCTCCTCAGCATGGCGATGCCTTCATCTGCTGTGTTCTCAGTCACGGAGACAAGGGTGTCGTATTGGGGGTTGATTGGCAGCCCCTCCGTATCAAACAAATAACGAGAACCTTCATGGCAACTCCTCAATCTCCCCTCAAGGCCAAGCCCAAAGTGTTCCTGATCCAGGCCTGCCAGGGGCGGCAGATACATCCTATGGTGGAATCAAGCCGTCCGCTTAACTCTGACTCGACACCGCCGGCTGATGGCTCTCCCTCGTCATCCATCCCTCAGGAAGCAGATTTTCTAGTTCATAGTTCCACTGTTCAAGAGTGTTATGCTAATAGAGACCCAATGAAGGGGAGCGTGTTCATCCAATCTGTCTGTAACCAGCTAATAGAGGGCTGTGAGAGGTAAATGTCAGACTCAACATTAATTATATAGTTATTGAAATATCCGAAAGATTTTGTAGATCTAAATCTGATGATAAAATCGTTAACATATATTTTACCCTCGACTTAAAGTGACCATCATGTGATAACATGTTTTTCTACCCCTCATATTTATTTTAGGAAGGAAGACATTGAAGTCATACTCCGCCGCGTGAACAAGGAAGTAGCCGGGAAAGAGCGTGTTTTGATCCGTGGTCCAGTAAAGCAGATGCCCAAAATTTGGCACACCCTGAGGAAGCGTCTTGTGTTGACTCCTCGCAACTGAAGCCTCATCGCCAAAAACACAATAAGATTTCTCAAGTTTTTATTTTTCACTGGAGCTTTCTACAACCAGAAGCCCTACATGCCGGAGCCTCTGCCGGACTCTGGGGACATCTGCACACCTACACATAGGATAATAATGATCAACCGTATGTTTACTCCATCCTCAACACAAGTATACAAGTGTTCATAAAGTACCTTTAAAACAAACATCTATTCACTATTATGTCTTAGGGTAATAAATTCAAGCATGACCCGTAGCCTACAGAACTAGTACATGTATATGAAAGCCGTTAAGTAACTGAGTGATGAGGGGGAAATCAATTACCGTTGTTTGTAAAGTTTCCTGGACTCATGGAGGACTTTAGAACGGATTCAACACATGGAGGAATAAACAGGATTTCTGGGCGGGGACGTTTTTTTTAATATTACGATCTATTGGCTTCACTGGTGCGATAGGCGGAACTAATGTTACTCTGCATTCTGCAGGGGTCTGCAGTCAGACCCCTTTCAGCGGTACACCGCCACTGGCTGGCTGAAGCGCACATGGAAAACCATAACACCTGTGAGGCTAAGAATCACAAAGAACGCAGGAAATGGTTGTGTAATGTGAAAGAAGAGAAAACTTCAGTGACCTGGATCGATTGAGTTTTTCATTACAGTCAGTGTTGCAGAAAATACTGTTAATGTCCTTTAATAATATTGTTACTTAGTTACTTAAAGCATACTGTAAATGACAAAATAAAACTACTGAAACAAAGAACTGTCACTTAAGTTACTGAATTAAATACATAAACAAATACCAATAACTATATTTTATGTTTATTTTAACCCGTGTTTATTGTGCCCAGGGCCGGTTCTAGACAATTTGATGCCCTAGGCGAGATCTTTGTAATCTCTACAAAATACAAATACAATACAAAAACAGAAACTTATTGATAGGTTATATACATCAGAAAGGCTTCAAATGTATTCAGTATTGTATGAACATGTTTGATTTGGGAAGACATGTTTGAACATTTTAAAGGGCCCATGTCATGGCCATTTCCACTGATCATAATTACATTGTTGAGGTATACTAAAATAGATATATACTGTGCAATTTTCCAAACTCACATTGGTTTCGCATACAGCATCTCTGTCAAGCATGTGTATTCAGCAGTATTCACTTTCTCCACTAAACGACTCGTTGGAGCTCTTGCCCCCCCCTCCCTGTGAGCCTAGTGTGCTCCGATTGGTCAGCTCGGCCACTCGTTCTGATTAGTCAACCACCAGAGAGGCTGCGCCCATGTCTAACAGTGCTTTTCCCGGCTGCTCTCAGCGTAACATCAGTCTTATCATGGCGTCGGCACAGCCGTATATTTTATATACATATATATTTTTAACTGTTGTTATAGAAGAGTGTGACGGCCCCAGGGCCTTTGTCTTACGATGGGGTGGAGCTGAAGAGGCTAATCAGCACGATCACGGACACCTCCGGACACTACGGCCCCAGTCTCTCTCCAAAGCGGCTGCAGGAAGACTAACTCTGCGATCCTCTCAACCACCTATCTCTGCATTTACCACAATAAATGTGCCGTGGTTTTGTAAACTCGTGTATGTCTCCTTGTCTTTGTGGCCTACGAGCCGCTCATAACAAAGAGTAAGTTATTTTTACCCGTTATAAACTACTACTGTTTGATGAGAAATTAAATCATGGTTTGCTATATATGAATTCAGGGAAGAAAGGATAGGCCTACTAAGTATTTCCATTAAACTTTATTTTTAGAAATGTACAAAATGAACATAAATATACATATATACACGGTATATCATCCATTCCTCCTCCTCGCATCTTGCCCGCGCACAGTCGGTGCGGTGCCTTTTAGCACGAGCCCTCAGTAGTAGTAGAAGTGCCTTTTAGCACGACGCCTCAGTAGTAGTCGAAGTCCCTTCCCCGTCATGGATTGTCCGCCAGGATCTGGCTGGACGAAATCAAATGCAAATCACAAAATATTAGAGAAACTTAGTTGTTTTAGATTCGTTAGTAGTAGTTGTGTAATGAACAGCTTGCCTGCTAATATGCTAACCTAGCTTTGTTTACCTTGGTAGCTAACACGATATGAACGTTAGCTTGGAGGAAAGGCAACTATAATGCAGTGTAATAAAACTACTATGAACAAAAGCTAGTGGTTCATATTAGGCTAGCAATAACGTGTTTATAATTGCAATCGTATACGGGTATTCTGCTACCATACAATGTAACTTGCATGAATACATTGTTTTGCGCTAGCATACAGCTAGCCTCGTTAGCTACATGCAGTATATGTACGGTCACAATGTACGGTAAATCACAGTACAGTATACTGTATGAGTATTCCGTGTGTGTGACTGCAGACATTCTCCTGCTATGAGATACATGTATGCAAGGCCATCTGCTGATATTAGAGTTGATATATGGAAACTCTAGCAACTTAGTTAGCACAGTTAGCACTGTGTCAATGGCTTAGCAGTCCAACACAGTTTACACATTTAAACAGTCTTGTTTGATAAATACACAAATAACAATGCAAACTTACAGGTTGTATACCCAGATCTTCCCCTGCTCCAAACGGTCCAAACAAGCTGTGCATATCCGGCCTCAAACTGGGCAATGTTTTTGGAAGCTTTCGTCTGTGAAATGCCGGTTCTTCGAACCTCTGGAGGAGGAACACGCCGCTGCTGGTGTGGCCATAGCTCTTCGGGATTGGTCCATTTCGTTCCGGGTACCGCATGACATCATGCGGTACCCGGAAGAATCAAATGGGCAGTGACGTATCTCCAACGAGGCGTTTTGGGGAGGTATTTTCTGTGTTAGAGTTTTACTCGCTACAGGGTGTACTTTGAGGGTTTTGACTCTGCACACCGTTTACATGCATAAAAACCTTCATAACACACAAGGGGACGGGTAATAACCGGAAAAGCATGACATGGGAGCTTTAAGGTAAAATGCTTCAATCTGGTGCACTTTGAGCAGACAATTTCTAGAGACCTGATCTAGGGGAACTCTAAACACCCATATGAAAAAGATCGGTTTACATTTTAATAATCAAATAAGTATGTGAACATAACCAATAACCCACCATAGCCAATAACAAATAAATGTAACTTATTTTATTTTTGTTGTTCATTCATATCTTATTTTTAGGGCTGTCAGTCGATTAAAATATTTAATCGCGATTAATCGCAAATTAATCGCACATTTTTTATCTGTTCTAAATGTACCTTAGAGGGATATCTTTCAAGTTTTTAATACTCTTATCAACATATGAGTGGACAAATATGCTTTATATGTTTGTTTATTATCATTTGAACAATGACAAATATTCTCATGAATATTAAACACAACAACCTGAACATTACAAATATTCGCCTCAATTCAACCTGGAACCTCTCTCATACAATAATACTGTGTGTGTGTGTGTGTGTGTGTGTGTGTGTGTGTGTGTGTGTGTGTGTGTGTGTGTGTGTGTGTGTGTGTGTGTGTGTGTGTGTGTGTGTGTGTGTGAGAATGTGGAGACACTGTGATGGATCGTTGGAGCTATGTGCAGCTCAAGGCATATATGCTCGAATGGGAGCTGCCTGGACGCTGCAATCATGTTGCGCGTACTATCCGTGCTGAGTGTGCTGACTTTTCGTACAATGTCCCACTGTCTGGCTACCTGCATAAAGTCAAGTGCTCGGCGCAGTTGTCGGCGAAATGTCATTGAAACAGCTCCTTATATCCGTTAGCTCAGCTAGCTAGCACCAGATGCTAACAACAACACGTAAGGTGTGCTTCGCTCGCGCCACACATACACACACCCTCCCGGTGCTCCCGATGGCCAGTCCGGGCCTGCCGGTGAGCGTGGAAGTGTGGTCTGCCACAAGCGGGCAGCAGGAGCGGGGCTGTCAGCATCAGCTTGTAGATGGTATTTTAAACTCGATGCGCTCTGAAACTACGGCGGCCGAGGACAAAAAATACACATGCGTTAATCGCGTTAAAATAATTAGTGGCGTTCATTTTTTTTTGCGTTAACGCGTTATTAACGCGTTAACTTGACAGCCCTACATATTTTACCTTAAAGTGGACCTATCATGCTATATTTGAACAATATATTGTAGGGCCATACCTATATAAAGTAGGGATGGGAATTTGAAAGCAAATGTACATTCGAATATTCGACCCCCCCAAAAAAACGGTTAACCGGTTAACCGAAATGTACATATCCTATAAAAAAAAAATTGGGTCAAAAAAAGAATTCTAACATTTTCTTTCAATAACTTTTGGAAATAAATAAATACATGTTCAAATAAGTATAGAAACCAAGTCGAATTTGTCAAATGTATTGAACTGGTGATCACAGTTTGACAGCTATAGGCCTACAGCTTTCATGTGCGGAGGCGATTCACAATCAGGCCAGCTGTAGAGAAGACCCTCTCAGCTGGAACGGAGGTTGCGGGTATAGCAAGGTATAGTATGTATATATATAATTTTAATTTGGCATAGTTTGCACTCTACACCGCACTCACTAACCTGGTCGAAATATTTCCACACATTACTCCTTTTTGACGCCATGTCTGTTGTGTAGGACTCTTCTTAGAGTGTAAATAATCACCGGACTATGACTGGTCAAATATGTTGAATACCGGCAAAACTAAATCTCTCCTGTCAAAATGTCTATGTACTTTGCCGCCACACACGGTTGCCAAGCAGCGCTTATTGTTGTTTAGGCTGGCCACTCATGTGTCGCGAGTGTTGACAGGGGGGCGGGGGAGCACGCTCATGAACTGTTAGCGCCGGAACCTCGCAACGGCTGCGGAGCGCATTTGCGCCGCATTTGGGCATAAGATGAGGCTTGAGTCTGCGTGATCTGCGTGTAGGCAGGGGCAGCAGCCATATCATTAGCTAGAACTAGATCTGATGGGTTTGGACATAAGATGAGGCTTGAGTCTGCGTGATCTGCGTGTAGGCAGGGGCAGCAGCCATATCATTAGCTAGAACTAGATCTGATGGATTTGGACATAAACGCGAGTGAAGTACCGGACGCGAGAGAGAGAGATCAGCACCTGCAGCTCTGCCCGCTGTGAGGGACCGGTGAGCGGAGCAAAACACACCTTTAGACGTCACCTAACACATTTAGCTATGGCACTGTCGTATACATTGAATTATTCAATTTGATAATATGTAATCAACTTAGGCATCCCTCCCAAAAATAAAAAAAATAAAAAATTATAATAAAAATATTCATAACTCATATTCGAATACCTGAATAATTTCGAATATTTGATTAATCGTTCCCATCCCTAATATAAAGTATATAAATATAGTTTTTTTTTCAAAATACCAAACAGATCATGCATTTTAGCCATGCCTCATTTCGCTCCATTTGCTCTTTCCAGCCCTGTTTTTGCAGGGGGCTGATTCTGTGAGCTGCAGCTGACCACTCCCCCCTGCAGGAGAGGTGAGCCGTGCTCTGATCAGCTGCTGGGCTGTCAGAAGAGGGGGAGAAAAAGAGATCTCCGTCCTCCGTGTTTTATTATATAGAGTGTTAAGGAATAATTCTTCTAGATATCTAACCTTTTACTCTGACATGTGTTATCTCCTTTAAGGAAAGGCCTTGGTGCCATATGTGTTGTTGTCCCCAGTGTGAGACCGGTCAACTTGTCTGGCACGAAGGGTAATTGTTGTGAGAACATTGAAGCACTTCTTTATCGGTGTTTGTGGGCTCTCGGATGTGAAATCCTTGAGGCCATGAGCGTCGGACGCAGATGATTCAGTGTTTAGTCTACTCCTTCAGAGATGTTGATTTCTCTCTGTGAACCAGTTAAAAGGTCTAGCATAGAGAGAGGTTCTTCAG